TCGACCCCTCCCCCCTGCCAGGCCGTGTTATGAAAAATGCCCAGGGCGAGGGTTAACGCTTGGTGCCTTTTCTGCACTAACTACTATGAAACGAATCACTGCTCTCTTCTGGGCGTCGCCCATCCTATCCGAAATGGCGAACTATGCTACGAATAGAAGCCCGAATCATTCACAGAAGAGACTTAATTAATGGCCACTTACTTAATTTGCGTAAGTGGACATCCCAATAACACATCATTTAACACACCGCCTTGCAGGCCAAAATTCCAACTCCTTCATTGTTCGGCCCGAAACTTTTTGAACGCCCCTCGTAGTTACGAGCTTCAGTTTTCGGGGTCTGATGCGGTAATGACCTGGCGTTGAACCCTGGGGAATCAGGCTGCATCACCCACTCAAATCAATATACCTATGGCCTATTCTGGAGCACCGCGGCACCTTCCGAAGTCGGTGTAGGGCCTCCAGCGGCTGGTGTGGAGACGGATCGGGGTCTATTAGGGGCGGTCGCGTGGTATGCGGGACTCAGAGGCAGTTATGGACCTCTATAACCAATTTTAGTTTTTAATGACGTCAATAGCAAAGAAGTGGCAATAAATTGTTTTGTGTCACTATAAACAGCCATAAATATTATAATTTATAAATGATAATGCTATACAGTTAAAAACTTGCTCTCAAACAAAGATTAAGTATCAAATTTTTACATTTTCAGAAGAAGACGTCATTTCATTAGTAAAGTCAACAGCTCGCGTAAGAAATATTGTGTTCAGGGTTTTCACCGTCATGTGAATTACGTGTTCAGGGTTTTCACCATCATGTGAATTAACCGTAAGTAAGGTTCATGCTCACTTATAATCTAATTCCATTAGCTTCCTTGATCAGCATTTTCTGTTAGCGGTCACTCACACACCAGTTAGAACATAAAGCGCCAGTTTTATATTATGTAATTGGACTTGCCGAAAATCCAGAAATACGTCAAGAGTTATTTTAGATAATATTTTATGAAGCCTTTAGATTTCTTTTTTCTATTACCTGAAAGAATTATTGAACGCTCGTCTTCATCTTCAATAGCTGTAAGGTGCTCTCCTAATGACCAGGTGATGAGGTGAGATTGATTTGAGAGGGATGTGACAATGCAACATGTTGCATTTTCTGAAACTGTCAAGCTCTTGATGATGAAGGAACAATTGGTACCTATAATTAGTATTCTGTACCAGAGTGCAAACTCCCCTACAGCAAATGGTAAAACCATTACAGGTTTTCAAAGGCTTCACCACTTTCAATGTTGCTGGGCATCCTTTGCATGATTTTTACAGGCTAGACTGCTTATCAGAATGTAAGATTAAGGATTTAAAATTTTATATTTGAGTACTTAAGATTGAGCTTGAAATCTCACAGCCGTGGCCACAGCCGTAGCCGTGTTCTTGGAGATATTTGCAGCCGCCCCGGCCCACAGCCGTGGGGCTGCAGCCAGCCGCGGCTGCAGCCGGCCGGTGCAGACCTCTACTCTCTAGCGCTGTCAATTTATATTTTTGAGACGAATGGCTCCGGATTATGTGATTTTAGCATGTAACGAAGACTCCAAAGACTCCAAGACACTGCTAGCATGCTACCTGGTAGCATGGTAGCATGGTAGGACTCAGCCAACTTATCACACAACCCACCCGGATGACAAACGACAAAAGCAACTTACGCGACTTAATATTTACAGACAATACTGACGTTATTATTGATAGTGGTATATTACCTTCGTTTTCACGTTTAGACCATTTTCCAATATTTGCGACTGTATGTACTGCTTTTCCACGACAAACGACAGACCTCACCCATAAAACGATATGGGATTATGCAAACCTTGACTCACAACTTCTTACCAGACTTTTACAAGACACTGACTGGGAACAAATTCTGGATAACGACATAGACACAGCAACCGAACTGTTCATAGAGGCTTTATTAAGTGCTGCCGACGCATCGATTCCAAAAAAAGACAGTTAGAGACAATAAATTTCAAAAGCCATGGACGACAAACGACCTAAAAACACAAATAAGGAAACGCGATAGACTGTTCAGACGAGCCAAACAAACTCAGACTGCCTACGACTGGGACCAATGGAAATATCAACGAAACAAAGTGACATCGATGAACAAAAGGCTGAAGCGACAACACATCCAACACCTTTTGACACATAAGCACGACCAACACAAGTACCACCAGACACTACGCACAATGACAGGACGAACACGCGACTACACTATTCCACCGCTAGAGGGACATAACGGAGACATATTAACTGACGACTTCGAAAAAGCGACGCTATTAACTTTAGCCCCAGTAGGGGGTGTTTTGTCTGTTTCGCAAAATCACCAATGGAAAGACAAATCATAATAGCACTGAGACGTATAACTTTATTCATTCATATTTCTTCGTTTCGTATAGTAAAAGTTTCAAAGTTTCAAAGTAAAAGGTTTCATCCTGAAACAAACAAGCCGTCAGTAAGATAGGAAATCAACACCGCTTTTAATCATGAAAGGATATAGAAAAATGTAAATGATCAAATATAACAACAAAATGATATAACTTACTACAGTGCCGAATATAACAAAATCCTATTCAAATATGAAATCAAGAAAACGATGCAAGAGAATTTGAATTTTTGGCTCAACGTCTCGTGACGGAGCGAAGACGAGCTGTCGTACGAATATTCGCTATACACTCCCCGGCCTCATGATGGCGAGCGTTCGTTCGCCTCAATGATGAGAACCAGTCGATGAGTGGATCTCTTGATGCTTATGTACGGCTTTCCGCTATATTCTTTTCCTTCGGTTGATGGTTTGTATCGCAGTGTGACGTCTCGAACACACCCATCGCTGCTTGGTTCTATACTGGTGATTTCGGCCATTTTCCAAGATCCACGGAGAGGTTTGTCTTCATGTAATAACACGATATCGCCGATCTGGAAGTTCCGTTGTTTCAGATGCCATTTTTGCCGTACCAGCATAGTTGAGAAGTAGTCTCGGTACCATTTGTTCCAGAAAGTTGTGACGATTGTTTGTAGGTACAAGAATCTGCTTGCGAGTCTTGATGTCTGATCCCAATTGCCTTGTGGTGCACTCACATTGGTACGCCCGAGAAGGAGGTCATTTGGGGACAAATAGGAGCCGTGGAGGGGATCTGCTCCCGGTTTGTGCCCAATCGGTCGTTCATTGAGGAGGTTGGCGACTTCGAAAAGTACTGTCTGAAGTTCACCGAAGGTAAGGATGTTGTCTCCTATTGATATCGTGAGTGCTCGCTTGACGAGACGAATTAACGCCTCACTGCATCCATTTTCCCACGGAGCGTTGGATGACTTTGTAAAAGTCCAAGTCAGTCCCTGGTCAACTCCAGCGTTTGTCAAATCCGTCATATTCCACTTGTCTGTGATTTCCCGCAGTTCCTTGCTTGCCGCCGTCAGTTGCGAACCGAGGTCGGAGTATAGGGTCGCAGGGTATCCCCGTATCGTGACAAACCTGCGAAATGACAGCAAGAAATCTTGCGTGCTGTACCCTTCCACGAGGTCAAGGTACGAGGCCTTTGACGCCAGACAGGTGAATATCACTCCATATGCCTTCGTTCTAGTTCTGCGTTTGACTGTGTCTTTGATAAGGAATGGACCAAAGAGATCCAGTGCCGTATGGTAGAAGGCTGGGCTTGGCTTCAACCTTTCAGGGATCACAGGTCCCATCAGTTGATGTTGTGGTTTGCTGTCCAGTTTTCTGCATACGATGCATTGCCGTTTAATCCCTTTGATGACGCGCCTGGCACCCGGTACCCAAAATTTTGTTTGAAGTCGTGCCAACGTGGTTTCGATTCCCCCATGATCACGAATATGTAATTTCTGAATATACAGGTGGGTGAATCGGTGATTGTGCGGTAGAAGGATATAGTGATCCTGGTTCCAATTCTGCTTTAGCCATCTAGCGATTCGGCTCCCGACAATGATGATGCCTTCGTTGTTAAGCTCTGGACCGAGTCTTCTAAATCTCACTTGCCAATTGTCAATGACAATCTTCTGGGCGTGTTTTATCCATATGGTTTGAGCCTCTGTGATCAGTTCAGTTGTCAAACATTGTCCTACGTTCTTCAAAGATCTATTCTCCTTGACGCTGAGTACCCGCGCTGTGACCCGAATGAGTTTGTCGTAACTGCTGAAGCGAGAAATATCAATATCTCCGCATATGTCACATTCTGGGGTGCTGTTGCATGCACTTGCTAGGCTTACTATTACCCGATCAGGTAATTCCTGCTCAAACTGCTTCTGACTTATCGGCCAATATTCTCTTGCAGTTTGCATGAACTCAGGTCCAGTCTGCCAAACACTGTTTGTTCCCAGATCTTCTGGTTTGGTGTATCTCGTAGTCATGTCGGCAGGATTATTTTGACCATCAGTCCACCACCACTGACCGGGGTCTGACTTCTCCTGAATTTCAGCTATTCTCACGGCTACGAAAGTTCCAAACCCGTACGACTGCTTTTGGATTTGGGATCGTACTATCATCGAGTCTACTATGAAAATGACTTCACGAAACTTGAGTGACATCTCTTTTAGGAGAGTTTCGGCCAAACGACATCCCAGAACGGCTCCGCATAGTTCTAGGCGTGGTATACTTAGCTGACGATTTGGACACATACGATTTTTGGCAGCGATTAGTCGAGTTTCGTGTCGTCCCGATTCGAGCAACCACTGAAGGTATGCGCAAGCACCATAGGCATGTGAGCTGGCGTCAGAAAACACGACCAAAATCGGTTCACCGACAGCGTTTGTTGGCTTAATGCATCGTTCAAAACGAATCGTATCCAACTTGATCATTTGTGTTAAAAAGGCGATCCATTCATTCCTGTTTTCATCCGGTATGGGTTCGTCCCAGCGAATCAGTCGATTCGAATCCTGTCTTGTTGTCAAGTTTCTTATAAGAATTTTTCCTTGAATCGTGAAAGGTACAATGAGTCCCAAGGGATCGTAAATGGTTGCTATTTGTCGCAAAAGCATTCTCCTTGTCAATATTGTTGGTATGTTGTGCTTCGTTTCACCCAGACTTGAACTGTTTTCGACTTGACCTTTTGTGAAGTTGAATTTGACATCGAATATGAGACTGTCAGGTAATGGCTCCCATAGTAATCCAAGGACCTTTTCTTGTTCCTGACACGAAACCTCAATAGTGTTATTTGTCATTTCGAACTCTCCCGGGATCGTCCAGTGTTTGACTGTGAAACCACCCTGTGACAGAATGTCTTGCACCTGAGCAGCCAAGGTTAATGCTTCATTTGTGCTTGAAACAGACTGTACTAGATCATCGACATAGCTGTTCTTTGTTATCATATTCACTGCTTGAGGGTATTGGGCTCTAAACATCTCAGCGATCGTATGCAGTGCGGTCAGCGCAATAGTCCCGCTCGGTCGATCTCCAAACGGAACCGCCGTTAAAACATAATGGTTTGCGTTTCCATTTGTTTGAAGATCGCGCCAGAGATATCGGTGTACATGCTGGTCTCTCTTCGATAGTCTAATCGAATTGTACATTTTTGATATATCAGCTGTCATAGCAACGGGGTGTTCTCGAAATCGAAGAAGAATGCCAAGTAAGTTGTTAATAAAGTCTGGTCCCTTGGCCCAGTATTGATTCAATGCGTGACCCATGTAAGATGCGGATGAATTGGACACAATGCGAATAGGCGTAGATAATGATTTTGGTTTCATGACTTCGTGATGATGGATGTAATGAATTGGTCCGTCGTATACTTCTATTTCTTCTTCAGATAGTTTCTTGGCGACGCCTCGATTCTCCATATCCTTCATTTGTTGTTGATACGCCGTTTGGTGTTCGTATCCTAATTTAAAGAGACGGTTTTCTGTAGAGCGAAGTTTCGCCATCGCAGTTGTTACGTTGTTGGGACTATTGCCAAAAGCTGACTATTGCCGATTGTTCTGATAACATTGGGCATAATTACGCAGGAATCTACCCCGATCAGCATATCAATCTTTCCCTCGGGTCGGATAATTTCCATGATATCAATGTCTGGAAAATTCTTCTTGATATGTTCAATGTTGACTTGATGGATATTAGCAGTGATTTCATCGATACCGAATGCGGTTACTGACCAAATTTTCCCTTCCAAATCGGCAAGAGGAACATTATATTCTTGACTTGTTAATGAGGTGGTGTCATTTCCCACCTTCACGATTGATAAATTTATCGGTTGACCCCGCAAGCCGAGTCGGGCGGCCGCACGGTGGGTAATGAGAGAGATGTTTGAGCGGGAATCCCACATAACGTTTATTGCTTGATTTTGACACTGTACGACGTTGACGGCTACAACTGGTTGACCTTCTCTCGCTTGAACATTGTAACTTTCGGAGTTTTGTCCTTTGTTTTTGTCATTATTGCGATCGTCATGTAATAAATCGTGATGTCTTTTCCCGCATTTTTGGCCTGCTTGTACGATACTGCACTGCTTTGGCGCGTTACAATTGATGGCAATATGTCTGGTAGTTTGTAAGCAATTGAAGCACGCACCAGCTTCTCTCGCGGCAGTGAATCTGTCTGGTAGGGCCATTTGAAGAAATTGTTTACATTGGTCTATGGAATGCCCCGTTGTCCTGTGAATCCAACACCATTTTTTGTCCACGATCGATGTGCCATACTTATTATTTTCATGAGCTGATGTATATGTAGCGTACTGATTTCCGTTTGCATACGAAGTAGAAGGCTGATCCTGATGATTTAGCGTAGCTTGATGTACTGTTCTTGTTTTGTTCGTTCGCAATTCGTGTTCGGTATATTCGATTACTCGTTTTTCTCGTAGTAAATAATTTAGGAGTCTTTCAAACATTCCTTTGTAATTTGTGTTGCTTGCATCCAATGAAATGATCCACTCGCGCTTTTGAACGGAAGGGAGTAATTTTTCAATCATACTAACCGTTGCGACGGTATCCATTTCCTCTGTTAGTCCCATGCGTTTTAAATCCAACCAACATCTTTCGACGATATCAACCATTGCCACAAAGTTTTTACTGTCGCCGTCCTGAATGGGTTTGATGGATTTGATTTCATTAACGATAGTATCAACAAATTTTCTCGGGTCTCCATAAACACTGCCTAGTCTTTGAAACATCTTATCGTAGTCATCTTCCACTCCTTTGACAACGTCAAGTGCTGACCCGTGAAGACAAGATCTCAGAGCGTACGAATCTTTGCCATATGATTTGACCATTAATCTACCAAAATCTTGCTTGAAATTGGAATATTCCCTAATGTTTCCTGTGAAGCGAGGGGCTTCTAAGGCTTTGACATGAATTTGTGACGATTTAGAGCAATTTTCTGACACATGCGAGGCATACATACCCCTGATTTTGTCCAGCGATGATTCCACATCATTCATATAACTGTCACAGTCTTGAAGCAAGTCATCCATTGTATGATGCGGAGCAGTCTCGTTAATGAGCTCAATGAGAGAATCTTTCGCAGTATCCAATACCTTGAAGGCTTCATAAACGTCGTTAAATTTGTCCTGTATCACCCAAAATTGTTCTCCACGGTTACTAAGTTCCACAAAAGCATTGCATTTGCTTGTAAACTTACATTTGGCGTTAGTACGCGTTCGTTTTGCTCTTTCCAAAGGATCTTGATTTCGTTCTTGACTTCCTTTCATTTTGTGCCTTCTTGTATTATTCTTAGCACTTAATATTTGGAAATTACTAACGTTACTTTACGTTAATTTATTGCTTGTAGATGAAATGTTTTGTCTGTTTCGCAAAATCACCAATGGAAAGACAAATCATAATAGCACTGAGACGTATAACTTTATTCATTCATATTTCTTCGTTTCGTATTGTAAAAGTTTCAAAGTTTCAAAGTAAAAGGTTTTATCCTGAAACAAACAAGCCGTCAGTAAGATAGGAAATCAACACCGCTTTTAATCAAGAAAGGATATAGAAAAATGTAAATGATCAAATATAACAACAAAATGATATAACTTACTACAGTGCCGAATATAACAAAATCCTATTCAAATATGAAATCAAGAAAACGATGCAAGAGAATTTGAATTTTTGGCTCAACGTCTCGTGACGGAGCGAAGACGAGCTGTCGTACGAATATTTGCTATACAGGGGGGGGGGCATATGTTACCACTCTGTCGCGTTTTTTGCGTGTGAATAAAAAATCGCGGCGCCGCTTGGCATACCTTTTTGTACATCAATTTTGGACAATGTGTGAAATTTTTGACCCCAGGTCATGTTAGGTCAGGTCACCAGGTCAAGTTAACTGACCAAGCCTAAAAAAGTTTGCAATCATGTCCAGCCTGCAGTGTTTGTCAGAAAGGTTTTAAACTTGGTGGATTGCATGATGTTATGGGCGCCTACAATTTTTATATCTCGGATTTTTTTATATCCGTGACCTAAGGTCAGGTCAGTGGCGTGACCTTTCCATTACAAGTCAATGGAGAAAAATGAAAATGCCTCTAGATCCGTGTGTACTCATAGGAACAGTCCAAATATTTCAGAATCACAATGATTTGGACCGCCCGTGATGACCAAGGTGTCATTTTTGCTGATAGCCTCTAGAAAGGTCATCCGAGGTCATTTGAGGCTACAAACAGATTTTTGCCAATAACTCGCGAATGGAAAGAGATAGGACGCTGGGGATGGTCTCATTGTGGTTGTCTTGTTGAGACGCATCGACTGATATGCAACATGACCTTTTCCGTTCAGGTCATGACCTTGACCTGAGGTCAAATTTTGAAGTTGACCTTTCAAGGTCAAATTATAGTTCATTCGACGCGTCTCGGCGAGAGGAACACGATTCTGGCAGTAGAAATGTCGTGGCTTTTTTTAGTCAAAAGTTATTGTCGAAAAACACTTTTCTTAAGAACAGCTATTTTTGGAGTTTTTGCCCTCTGGAGGCTAAACCGTGACCTGAGGTCAATTTTGATTATGACTTTATCGCAAGAAGAGTTCAAAAGCTATCGATTGCTTTTCCATGCGTTTTTCTAGCTATCATAGTTCCTGAGATAAATTCATGTTTTCTGAAAAATATAATGACATTAAACAAATTTTAACCTTTGATGACCTTCAGTGACCCCAATATTGCTCTAAGATGAAAAATGACCGAAATACTTTCAAACGTACGCATTAAGAGCTATCGACTGCTTTTTACCGCGTCTTTCTAGCCCTCTATAGTTTTTGAGTTAGAGGTGGGTGGTAACATATGCCCCCCCCCCCCCACTAGGGCGAAGTTGGCTGAGACCGCCACTGGGGCGCAGGTTAAACAATCATTTCGCTAGTCAAGTGACGGTCGACTTAACAGGCACACACAGACATCCACTAAATCATGACTCAGACAAAACGCCGGTGCCCACTCTGGGTGAACTGATGACATCCGAGAGAGAGGTTCGCCAAATACTAAACTCACTCGATCCTAACAAAGCAACGGGACGCGGTGAAATTCCAGTAAAGCTTATCAAGTTAACCGCTCTCATCATCGCAGAACCATTGTCCAAACTTTTCAACATGTCACTAAGTCAGGGAATTTACCCATCGAAATTTAAAGAAGCAAACATAAAACCAATTTTCAAAAACAAAGGATCACCTTCTGACTACACTTCTTACCGTCCCATCAGTATACTTTCATCGTTATCTAAAGTATTCGAAAAATTGTCTTCAAGGGTATATATTCCCATTTACTAAATCATTCTCTTTTGACCGACAAGCAGAGTGGGTACAGGCGTAGCCACAGTACAGAACAACAACTTTTATACCTGACTCACAACTTGTACAAATCACTGGACATGGGAAGAGACTTTATTGCTATCTACCTCGATATTTCTAAATACTTTGACAAGATCTGGCATGACGGACTGTTGTACGAGAGTAAGCACGACTTCGGAATTACTGACTCACTTTTCGACTGGTTAAAATCATATCTTTGTGACAGGACACACCGAGTACGGATCAGCAGCACCTTCTCGGCCACTAAAACAATAAATGCGGGCTGCCGGCGGGGATCCGTACTCGGGCCTTTGCTGGCACTTATGTATCTCGACGGACTTTCAAGACGAATAAAGAATGACTTTCTCTTTTTCGCTGACGACACATCTATCTACGCCTCGCACACGACAGCAGACATTGACGCCGTACAGTCTGTCTTAAAAGTACCGCGCAAAGTGCCGGTGGATCCATCAAGCCTGACTGAGGTAGGGCCTGCTATAATTTGAAAGTCACCGAACCAATTGACCCAGGGAATGGACGAGGATGTGAATTGCTTCGGTGACTCAAATTTAGTAGGCCCTTCCTCGGTCAGGCATGATGGATCCACCGTCACTTTGCGCGGTACTTTTAAGACAGACTGTACAGCTATCACTACAACAAGACCTCAACGAAATCCACAAATATGGTCGAGAATGGGCAATTACATTCAACGCTACGAAGACCATCCAACAAACATTTTCACACAGACATCAGTATTCAGTACACACCACCAAAGCTCACTTTCGAGGGCGCAAACGTAGGGGAAGTTGGGGGAACGCCGAAGACTTTTTTCTGACGCCCGTAGCACGCAAGGTAGACAACATAAGCTATTCTTGTTGGCGTCATTCGAGAGGCCAGTCTTTTGCCTTTCAAACATACCAGGCGCATTTGATGAATTCGCATACCGTTAAGCGCACAAACTAAAAATATCAAAGAAGTGACTTTTTCGGCGTTGCCCCGGACTGCGGGGAAAGCCGAAAATGGGAGAAATGATCTACGGGGAATGCCGACATTGATGTTTTGCCATTTTATCTCAAACTTTATCCAGAATTGATCAAAGCTGACACGCGTTTTAAGAGCTTGAGGACGCGGTGCACACTGGAAGTTATAATTGTGTGATGTAATAAGAACATGCCAGGTAAATCATTCCTTATAGGTAACAGGCCGTTGTGTCGGTTGAAAGTGTAATTTGTGTGACTAAAAATACGCGTTGCTATTCTACAGCAGTAAAGTCCACGTAGCGTGCTTTTAACACGTGCGTAATCGCACGTTTTCGGCATTACCCCAGCCTGCCATACTTTCATTTGCAGGCCCATAACTTTTCAACGTGCTGTATAAATTTCAAATAGGCAGCACACTTATGCAAAGACATGCTAAAGATTACTTGACCGAATTGGCCAGACAAACGGTAGCATAATGAGTAAGAAATGCAGCATCAAAGGCGCATGTAGTACAAGGGAAACGTACCTTGAAAACGCTCTTGGCGCCCTCACAGTCGAAGTATTCCGAATGACGACTCGTAACAAACATGCGATAATTGTAGTCACTTAAGCTTCAGAGCATCACTGACAGGTGGCATCCATGTCTTACGGTTTTCGAAATATCTCGAATTTCGGCTTTGCCCCAACTCCGGCATGGCCCCAACTTCCCCTACCCATTCATGAAACTCATACTCACCTTGGCTTGACATTTTCTAAGGACCTACGCTTCCACCAACACGTCAATGCAATATGCAACAAGGTACAGTATATCTAAAAAGTATGTCCCCTGGTTTGGCTCTCCCACAGGAGGCGAATCGGTAACTTGGCTGAATCCCAGTTGCGGCACCCGGCCGCCAGGGTCGCTGCCGCGCGAGCGGCCTTGACCGCTCGCATGTCATTGGCAGTTCGGTCCCTCCCCATCTATACCAAGGTGGGGAGGGGAGAAGAGGGGAAGAGAGGGGAGGGAGCGGCTTTCGCTCGGCACTTGGCGATACCTGGCTGACCCCGCGCTCCCTCGCTGACCATTGTCCTGCCCTCAGGCGAAGACCGACTTCCTGGCCTGTAGCGGCCCAGCGGAAAACCGAGCTCGCGGGGCGCGACTCCATTGGCCCAATCTTATAAATGGAATGCTGTCGTATTCACGGCATTAGATAATATACCAGCAGTGGATGTGGTAAAATACAGTCCAAAATAAACGAAAGCACACGATTCGTGCATAATGCGCCCTCCCATTCAAATAAGCCCGCCCACTTCGATAGATGGTGTAGTTTCTTAGGGCGTAAAAGATGCAAAACACTACCGATTTTTTTTAGCTCGGCCACTGGGACCGACAATATACAATTGACTGAAATGCATGAAAACCATTTTGCATTTAGGTAATAGCCGTTTTCTGCACCCAAACTTTAGCCAGTGACACCCTGTCCATTCTAAAGCGTTTATAAGATTGGTCCCAGCACCCGATTTTATATGAGTAAGTCGTTTAAAAAGCATCTTATTTCTAACGAATTTATTATTATGGCCACTTTAACAGGACGTCTATAGAGCTTTGACTTTCACATTTCTTCCTCGTTCAGGAGAAACGTTTTCACCCTCACCGGACCTTCAGGTTTTCTGAATACCGAGGGGACGTTGGGGGTTGGAAGTGAGGAAACAACCCCCTTCGCCGATTCGCCCCTAATTGAGCTAGAGCCTCACGAAAGAAACGATCGTGTGCGTCGTTACGAAATGCAGCGATTGGTCTCCAATTTAAGGACCAGGTTCAGCCGATGACTTCGGAGGTCAGGTCAAGTGGCCCAAGGCACAGGTTCGGTTTTTGGTAAATAACTTCGCTAAAAATGATCGCAGATCCGCGATTTTAGCAGCATCGTGTTTGTCTAGCTCAGGCGTGTCGAATGGTATACTTTTTCTTCGGGTGAGATCAACTTAACCTTCGCCCGTATAGAGGGGGGTCGAACGGACCCCCTCCCTCGGTTTTTCGCGAATAACTCGCGTAAAAGCGGCCGATCGTGACGAAACTTTCAGTACCCTCGCGTTAATCAATTTTACACCCACCCTGAAATTGTCATGACCCTGACCTTAATGACCTTTGACCTGCGACCTACTTTTCGAGACCATGTTTGGCCGGAATCGCGATT